ACATCCCTTCCAAAATCACACTACCATTCACTTTTCATATCTCAGAAGGTGTGGGGAAGCAGTGCAGTGGGGGCATTTGACCGGGCATTGATTTACCTCTCCTGCTTTGGCAACCCGGATCATAATCTGAGGGCAAAACAACAGAATCGGCTTCTGGCAGTCAGACCATGGTAGAGCCAGGGGCAATGATCATGGACGCCACGGTCCTTGAATCTTGTTGATGCCCCACGTCAGATTGTGGGTGTTCTAAATGGAAGGCTGCTGCCTCCCACAGCACACACTATCCTTCGGCTGGCATTGATAGTTCGCCACAGTAGTCACACAACTCACAGACGATGCTTGCGACAATGGTGTTTATTAGGGATGGCGTTTAACAGGTTACAATTCAGGTGAGAAATGCTCAGGATACAGTGTTCCATCAGGACTGTTTCTTCTCTGCCGTGCCCATAGACAGGCCTCTCTCTGGCCTCCAGCCACTTGGCCTGGCCTCTGCCCTGCTAGGGTAATGTTACAAAGCTCGCTACGGGCTGCCAATAAATACAATAAAGAGCATGCCGCTTTACCATAACCTCAGCCTCAAGGCACTCAGCTGCAGCTCCATGGATCAGCACACCCAGCATTCCCAATTGCGTGTCCAGAGACAGCACTCCACAAGCCAGCCTCCTGCCCCAAAGCACACAGCTTCCCTGCTCTGTGGACTGACACGTCCATTCGTCTGTCCCATGCTCTAGCTCCTGATCCTGCTGCTGTTGTCACCCCACCCCCCACCCTCACCCCCCAGGCAGAGCTATCTCCAGCATCAAGGAGCATCAGTGAGTTCAGGGGTCTCTCAGAGTCCAAAGGGGGCACTCAGCTCCCAGCTCTTCTCACTTTGCTGGTAGTGAGATCCCCCTTCCCACTTGAGATGGCTGATCTCATACCCGGCAGGGTAGCAATCACAATTAACCCTGTTAAACAACCACTCGCAGCCGAATCTTATAACCCAGTCAGCATCTTACCCAACCAACTTCGCCAGACCCATCAGGAAAACTAAGGGAAAGAGCCATGTTAAGGAAGTGACGGTGTTGCAGAGGCTGCCCAGACTGGGTGGCTAGACTTCTGGGACTTCAGGCAGGATGGTGATGGGACCACATTGGTTTGTATTGACTCAGGGCACTGGGAAAGCCTGCCGGGGTGTCAGTGGTGCCCTCTCACCCTCAGGAGTATATTCTGCCAGAGACAAACCTCTGCCGTGAGGACCCTGGAATGCAATCTACGCAGAGCCTAGGGGTCGTTAGCATGACTGGTGTAGTCTCCACTGCCCTGACCTGCCACGGCCACCTCACCAAAGAAGCACACGTGTGCAAGCCTACTTCTCCCATCCTCTCTTTCGAAAGAAGCGTGCTTCTAAAATGTCAATTTCAAGATGTTTTGAGGAAAGATCTACCAATTATTATTATTAAACCCAACTATTTTTAAGAAAGTAAAATTGCTGTTATAAGGCTGTGTTTTTTAATCCCTCCTCTTCCTGTAACAGTAATTCCTGTTGTTATTGTTTCTTTTCTTTAAACGTTAGCAGATGGGCTAAAACGGTGTACTATTGACTTACAAGTTGATGGTTCCATTGACATACCTGTAAGGCGTCATAGAAGAGGCATAGAACCGGAGTCGGGATGCCCACTTCCACTTTGTCCCTACAAAGACCAGCTGTGTGACCTTGTGTATGCTGCTCCCTATCACTGCTGAGCCTTCACGTGTAAAACGAAGGGGCTGATAGGCCCACTTCTAAAGATTATTAAAAGGCAGTTAATCTGAACACAGGCCAACGACTGGCAAGGGTGGACTCAGACAAGCCCTCATTTCTTCATCCTTGCCTGTCGGATCTGTCTGGCTGTCTTGCCTGTCGGGATCTGTCTGGCTGTGCTGTGCTGCCTTCACGGCCCTCCCTCATCCCGTGGTTCTGCCTGGGCAGAAGCTTAACAGCTGTCTTCAGATTCTGATCCATTGTAACTTGTCATTTAATAAAGAGTACCCATTCTTGGGATTTAGAGTTATAATAATAGGTGGTAATTGAGTTGATTCCAACTCACGGTGATGCTATAGAACAGGGTAGAACTGCCCCTGTAGGCTTCCGAGACGTGGAATGTACAGGTGTGGACAGCTTTATCTTTTTCCTGTGGAGCAGCCGTGGGTTTGAACTGTGGATCTGTGGTTGACAGCTCATTTCAATCGGCAGCCCAATGCGAGACCCACTCTGGAACCCTATAGATGGTGTAAGTTGCCATTGGAAAATCCGCATAGATCTTTTGGAGTTCTGTTTGGTGTTTCAGCCTTTTCCTCAGTTCCTGTGGAATTAGCAGAATTAAAAAAATAATGCTTCCCAAGTGAGTTTTAAAGCAGAGAGATAGGCTACTTCTGGCTGCTGGTGGCTGTTACTTCTGGATGCTGATCTAAACTCTTTTTTCAGAATCTAGAGCAGAGGGTACTGGTCAGGGTGGTGAAGTTGGAGCTAGTGCCCACATTGCCTCCTTAACGTGGACACAACCAAGAAGCACAGGTTCACCTTTTTTGGGTGTAATACAGCTGCTCATCTGAGCCCTCGTCTTAGAACCACCTTGCACTTGCCTGCTTGTTGAACCCTGCAGAGTGAGTGTTAAGAGATGTTTCATACCTATTACACAGAGAGAAAGTGTTTTACTTTTTAAAGAAAGGTAATTTCTGAACCATTAATAGAGATTCCATTATTATTTCAGAAACCATAAGAGTAAGAGGGAAGCAGAATATCTGGTCTCCTGGGCAACATTTGTTTCATCAGACACTCAGCATGTTGCCTGCGTCTTCTCTCAAATGCATCTTTATTGCAGTCGTAGAAATATCAAGGTACCCTGTGATGACCCGTGGTTGCTAATGCTCCTTGCCCAGTCTGAACTGCAGTCCCTCAGCTGGCAACATAACATGGGCAAGACTGTCAGTATTTTGGGTTATTTACTTACAGTACAATCCAGCTGACTTTCTGTATTTTAAAAACATTCTGGTAGAACACCTGTATTTGTGTACCATCTACATAAATACAGTTGGTGATTGCCAATTTTTAAACAAGTATGATAGCTTTCAGGATTGTTTATGTTTAATAGCATCAGGCAATATCTTTTCACTTGCAAATAAAAACCCACCAGGCCCACAGGTGCTATCCCTGATGGGGAGAATACCACTAGCCCCTCTTTTACCACGTGAGGGGCATTTTGCAAATTAGGATGAGCCCGAGCCAGGCTGTGGGCCCTCTCTAGCATAGATGCTATATCAGTAGTAACCCTAGCAATGCTGTGACTCGATACATATTATCACCTGTCACATTTTCACCATCCCTGCCAAGGAAGGATGGTTTGGATCTTATTGAGGTCATCATGAAGATGGGCAAGCAGAGTTGTTACAGATGGATTAAATGGTTTCCTTAAGGTCACATGGTTGGTTGGTAGCAGAAATAGACCTGATCTGGGTCATCCCTGCCACCCAGGCTGGTCTAACAAGCCAGGAGGAGGAGGACTGGAAGTTGGGTACGGTCATTAGTTAGGCTTTGAGGGTACTTCACTAGGCTGCACCACGGGGCCACCAGGAGTCAGAATCAACTTGACAGCAACTGACAACATTAAAAAAAACCCACTTTAATTTCAGAATTTTTTAAATGAACAGACAAGTTGCAGAGATGGTAGATAGGGCTCCCACAGACAATCCCCCCAACCCCCACCATTACCAAGTTTGCTCTGTGGTTAACATCTTAAGTTGCTAAGTCACATTTTTCACCACCAGCGAGCCAGTCGATGTTGGTTCTGGCTCACAGCGACCGTGTGCACAGCAGCAGGACGCTGCCTCGTCCCCGGCACCGCCTGCATGGCCTCTGCTCCTTTGAGCCCATGGCTGCAGCCGCTGTGCCAGGCTGTGCCAGCTCGGGGAAGGCCTTCCTCCTTCACGTTTACCAAGTATCTTTTACTTTCCTAAATGTGTACCAGCATGCCCTCCCCACCCCCGCCGAGCCCTGGTGCCATCATGGTTACTCATAAGGCTTCTAACTACAAGGCCAGCAGTTGGAAATCACCATCCGCTTCTCCAGAGAAAGATGGGGTCTCCTACTCCTATAAGCAGTTACAGTTTTAAAAACCCGTGGGGCAGGTGTACCTGTCCTGTAGGGTTGCTGCCCATCAGCATCAACTTGTGAGCGGTGGGCGTGGTGTCTGAAGTGGAGAGAGCCATGGAGGTTTGATACAAAGTGCAGGGCAGGGACTGGCCTAGTGATGAATTACCGTGTGACTTCAGGACACGACGTGTAATCACAGAAACAACAACGAAACCTTGGAATTTAGTGGGGAAAACAGCGCGAAAATCCATGCCGATGAGCTCATACATTCTCAGCACTCCTGCATGAAACCCTCTCCCATCTCCTTGGACCTGTCGTAGTTTAATGCCGAACGAAGGAGGGTGGGCCAGGTGTGTGTGTGTGTCTGTTTCTCGTAAGCCGTTGAAATTGAGGAGCTTTTAAAAAATAGATATAGTAACTCATTATTTCCCCTGAGCGTGTGGCTTCAGACCATCCTGGCTGATACCCGACCTTTCTCTCTCCTGTCTCTCCAGAACTCTATCCGGCATAACCTGTCACTGCACAGCCGGTTCATGCGGGTCCAGAATGAGGGCACTGGCAAGAGTTCCTGGTGGATCATCAACCCCGACGGGGGGAAGAGTGGGAAGGCCCCTCGGCGGCGGGCCGTCTCCATGGACAACAGCAACAAGTATACCAAGAGCCGCGGCCGCGCGGCCAAGAAGAAGGCGGCCCTGCAGACGGCGCCCGAGTCAGCCGACCTGGACAGCCCCACCCAGCTCTCCAAGTGGCCCGGCAGCCCCACCTCGCGCAGCAGCGACGAGCTCGACGCGTGGACGGACTTCCGCTCCCGCACCAACTCCAACGCCAGCACGGTCAGCGGCCGCCTGTCGCCCATCCTGGCGGGCACAGAGCTGGATGGCGGCCAGGACGACGACGCGCCCCTCTCCCCGATGCTCTACAGCAGCTCGGCCAGCCTCTCGCCCTCCGTCAGCAAGCCGTGCCCCGTGGAGCTGCCCCGGCTGACCGACATGGCGGGCACCATGAATCTGAACGACGGGCTGGCCGACAACCTGATGGACGATCTGCTGGACAACATCACACTCCCGCCGGCCCAGCCGTCGCCCACGGGGGTGCTCCTGCAGCAGAGCTCCAGCTTCCCGTACTCCGCCAAGGGCTCCGGCCTGGGCTCCCCCACCAGCTCCTTCAGCAGCACGGTGTTCGGACCGCCTTCGCTGAACTCCCTCCGCCAGTCTCCCATGCAGACCATCCAAGAGAACAAGCCGGCCACCTTCTCTTCCATGTCACACTATGGCAACCAGACACTGCAGGACCTGCTCACCTCGGACTCCCTCAGCCACAGCGACGTCATGATGACCCAGTCGGACCCCTTGATGTCGCAGGCCAGCACTGCTGTGTCTGCCCAGAACTCGCGCCGCAGCGTGATGCTCCGCAGTGACCCGATGATGTCCTTTGCGGCCCAGCCCAACCAGGGGAGTTTGGTTAATCAGAACTTGCTCCACCAGCACCAAACCCAGAGTGCTCTCGGTGGAAGCCGTGCCTTGTCCAATTCTGTCAGCAACATGGGCTTGAGTGACTCCGGCAGCCTCGGGTCAGCCAAACACCAGCAGCAGTCTCCCATCAGCCAGTCTATGCAAACCCTCTCGGACTCTCTCTCAGGCTCCTCCTCGTACTCCACGAGCTCACACCTGCCCGCCATGGGCCAGGAGAGGTTCCCCAGCGACTTGGACCTGGACATGTTCAACGGGAGCTTGGAGTGTGATGTGGAGTCCATCATCCGCAGCGAGCTCATGGACGCCGACGGGCTGGACTTTAACTTTGACTCCCTCATCTCCACACAGAACGTTGTTGGTTTGAACGTGGGGAGCTTCACCGGTGCTAAGCAGGCCTCATCTCAGAGCTGGGTGCCAGGCTGAAGGATCACCGAGGAAGGGGGAAGTGGGCAAAGCAGGTCAGTGTCCACCTTGATAGCGTCATGAGAAAGTGTGTGTGGGGGGAGGCGGGGCATGGCGGCATTGGGGAGTGTCGTGAAATACGGGGGAGGGGATTATTTTCAAAATGTTCATGGGACAGTTCCATGATCGTTGAACTAGAGTTCTCACACCGGCTTTCTGAAGCCCCCGTGCTCACAGTACTCTGACCTTGAAGCTGAGGGCCCTGGAGAGCAGGGACTCGGGACACCATGGCTCCCAGCCAGTTCCTGTAAGTCTTACCTGCAAACTGAGAAGGCCTGTCAGGTGCCCCTCTCCACTGATTGCCGACAGCTCAAGAAATGCACTGCTAGTAAGGGGACACACTTAAACGCCTTCGGGGATACAGACACACAAGCACACCACACTCACTGCCGTCAAGTCACTGCCGACTCATAGCGACCCTACAAGACAGGGTAGAACTGCCCCCGTGAGTATCCAAGACTGTAACTTTTCATGGGAGTAGAAAGCCGCCTCTTTCTCCCAAAGCGCGACTGGTGGTTTCCAACTGCTGACTCTGCAGTTCACAACCCAATGGGTACCACTGTGCTGCCAGGGCTCCTCTTCTAGGAAAAGAGTCCCTGTTCTTCAGTCACGCTAAGAATCTAAAGTATGGAGTTCTTGTGTAAAATGAGCTGGCACCCACCCAGTGTGATGAACTGACAGGTGAGCAGCCCGGGAGCCCAAGGTCACACAACTGGACTCATGAGCCACGTAACTTGAATGGTCTGGTGGTCTGAATGAGCCCTAAGTGCTTCTTGTAACTTTTCTC